CCCTGTCCAATGTCTAATATCTTCCTGCCTGAGGCTGAGCAGCCCCCAGGTCTGCACTCATCAAGCTGGATATTCAAGAGAACCAGTGCTGTATTTCAGTCTGGATCCAAAGGTCTGCTTACCAGGATAGCTGAGAGTGGTAAGCTTCAGTCTGCGGGCAGCAGCAAAAGACCAATGTCCTAGCTCAAAGAGTTGGAATTTTGTGGACTATAAAGGCCCATAAGCAACTATATGCCAATAAAACATATAACTTAGAAGAAATGGACAAATCTTAGAAAGGTACAATCTCTCAAGACTGAACAGGAAGAATTGAAAAAAAATATGAACAGACCAATTGTAATACAAGTAGTGATATGGAAACAATGATTTTAAAGTTCCCAATAAGCGAATGTCCAGCATAAGGTGCCTTCACAGGTGAATTCCATTCAAAATGTAGAAAAGAATTAACCCCTAATCTTCCAAAGTTATTCCAAAAAATTTCAGAGGAAGGAGTATTTCCAAACTCATTCTATGAGGCTGCAATCACCCTGATACCAAAACTGGACAATGATACCATGAGAAAAGAAAAGTACAGCCAATATTATTGATGAACATAGAAAATTCTCAACAAAATACCAGGCAATGAATCTAACAGTACTTTAAAAGGATCATACACCATGATCAAGGGGGATTTACCCTAGAGATGCAAAGATTTTTTTCAATATCTGCAAATTAATCAGTGTGATACACCACATTAATGAACTGAATAATAAAAACCATACAATTATTTCAATAGATGAGGGAAAAGTTTCTGATGAAATTCAATATCCATTTATGATTAAAAAAATGTCCATAAAGTGGGCACAGAGGGAACACACCTCAGCATAATACTGGTCATATAAGACAAACTCTAAAATCACACTCAACAGTGAAAAGCTGAAAGCACTTTCTCTAAGATCAGGAACACGACAAGGATTCCTCTCTTCCAACTTTTATTCAATATAATTTTGGAAGTCCTAGCTATGGAAACCAGTGAAGGAAAAGAAATAAAGTGAATTCAAGCTGAAAAAGTAGTAAAACTGTCACTTTTTGCAGATGAAATTACATTATACATAGGCAATCTTAAAGATGCTGCCAGAAAACTACTAGAGCTCATCAGTGAATTTGGTAAAGTTGCAGGATACAAAATTAATACAAAGAAATTGGTTGCATTTGTATATACTAACAATATAAGGTAAAAAATAGAAATTCAGAAAATAATTCTATTGACCACTGGATTAAAAAGAATAAAATACTGAAGAATAAACCTACTTAAGGTGACAAAAGACTTGTATGCAGAAAACTCTAAGACACTGATGAAAGAAATCAAGATGACACAAACAGGTGGAGAGATATATCATGTTTTTGGATTAGAAGAATTAATATTGTCAAAATGACTTTATTACATAAAATAATCTACACATTCCGTGAAATCCCTGTCAAATTACCAAAGGCATTTTTCACAGAACTGGAACAAGAAATTTTACAATTTGTATGGAAACACAAAAGATTCTGAATAGCTAATGCAATCTTGAGAAAGGAAAATGTAGCTAGAGGAATCAACCTTCCTGATTTCAAAATATACTACAAAGCTACAGTAATCTAGACAGTATGGTACTGGCACAAAAACAGAAATATAGACAAATGGAATAAGAGAGCCCAGAAATAAACATACACACCTATGGGCACCTTTATCTTTGACAAAGGAGACAGAAATATACAATGGAGAAAAGATAGTCTCTTTAATAAGTGCTGTTGGGGAAACTGGACAGCTTCACATAAAAGAATGAAATTAGAACACTTCCTAACACCATACACAAAAATAAACTCAGGATGGATTAAGATCTAAATGAAAGGCCAGAAACTCTTAGAGGAAAATGTAGGCAGAACATTCTTTGACATAAACTGCACTAAGATTTTCTTTGACCCACCTCCTGGAGTAATGGAAATAAAAGCAAAATAAATAAATGCAACATAATTAAACTTAAAATCTTTTGCACAGCAAAGGAAACTAAACAAAATGAAAAGATAACCCTCAGAATGGGAGAAATAACTGCAAATGAAGCAACTGACAAAGGATTCATCTCCAAAATATACAAGGAGGTCATGCAGCTCAATATCAGAAAAACAAACAACTCAGTCAAAAAATAAGCAGAAGACCTAAACAATCATTTCTCCAAAGAAGACATACCAATGGCCATTAAACACATGAAAACATGCACAGCATCACTCATTATTAGAGAAATGCAAATCAAAACTACAATGAGGTATCACCTCATACTGGTCAAAATGGCTATCATCAAAAAATCTACAAGCAAAAAGTGCTGGAGAGGATGTGGAGAAAAGGGAACCCTCCTGCACTATTGGTGGGAATGCAAATTGATACAGCCACTATGGAGAACAGTATGGAAATTCATTTAAAAACTAGGAATAAAACTACCATAAGACCAAGCAATCCCAATACTGGGCATATACTCTAAGCAAAAAGACACTGGTACCCCAAAGATCATTACAGCCCTATTTTACAAAAGCCAGGACACAGAAGAAATCTAGATGTCCACTGACAGATAAATGGATAAAGAAGATAGACTACTTATACACAATGGAATATTACTCAGCCATGTAAAAGAATGAATTTGAGTCAGCTAACCTGAGGTAGATAAACCTAGACTCTGTTACACAAGTGAAGTAAGTCAGAGAAAAAAATATATTGTATATTAAATATATATATGGAATTTAGAAAAATGGTAGAGATGAACCTATTTGCAGGGCAGGAATAGAGAAGCAGACATAGAGAAGAGAGTTGTGAACACAATGGGGAAAAGAGAGGGTGGGATGAAATGAGGAAGTAGCATTGAAACATACACATTACCATGTTCACATAGACAGGTAGTAGAAAGTTGCTGTATTAACACATGGACTCAGCCTGCTCTGCAACAACCTAGAGGGATGGAACTAGGCAGCAGCAGGGAATGGAGGTTCAAGAAGGAGGGGTTTATGTATATCTATGGCTGATTTATGTTGTATGGCAGCATGTTTACAATGTTTATTCAACACCGTAAAGCAATTTTCCTCCAACCCTAAAATTAAAAAAAAACACAATTTTTATTTTAATTTAAAAAATGAAACATCAGTTACTAAAGAAAAAACCAAATAATACAGATTGCAAATGAGCACATGAAAAGATGCTCCATATCTCTATCATGAGGGAAATAAATGAAGACAGCAATGAATTATCACTATACACTTAGTAGAAAGGGCTAAACTCCAGAGCACCGACACCACCACTGATAATGATGTGGATCAATAAGAACTTTCACATACTTCTGAAGTGGGATTCATTTTCATTCATGTAAAATAATACGGTCACATTGAAAGGCAGTTTCATAATTTTTTAAAAAACTAAACCTCCTCTTACTATACAATCGACCAACTGCACTACTTGGTATATATCCAAAGGATTTGAAAACACATGTCTACACAAAAACCTGCACAGAGATGTTTAAAGCAACTTTGTTGATAACTGCCTAAACTTGGAAGCCATCAAAGTGTGTTTCAGTCGGTAAATGGATAAACTGTGGTGCAACCAGACAATGGAAGAAAGTTCAGAATGAACTATCAAGCAAAGAAAAAAAAGAGGAAACTTAAAGGCATTCGACTGAGTGAACAGAGTCAATGTGAAAAACTACTTTATATATGCATACTCTATGATTCCTCCCCAAATATTTGAAAAATCCAAAACTATGGAAGCAGTTAAGAGATCAGTGATTGTCAGGGATTAGAACTCAGGGAGGAAGGAAGAGGTGATTCTTAGGGCATCGAAAATACTGTGTATAATGATATAGCGTAGATACACATAATCAAACACTTGCCAAAACACAGAATATACAACACCACGAGTGAATTCAAAAGTACACTCTAGCCTTTGGGTGATGATGATCTGTTTATATAGATGAATGAATAATAACAAACATGCCACTCTAAGGAGGGTTGTTGGTAATGGGGGAGCTTATACATGTGGGGAGGTAGGGGGTATATAGGGCATTTCTGTCCCTTCCACTGAATTTTTCTGTGATAAAAAAATATCTTTAAAAATAAAGTTCATTACATAAAAACAGGCAAGAGATGTAAAGAGTTGTTGTTGCTTTGTTCAGCTGCTAAGTCTTGTCCAAATCTGTGACCCCATGGACTGAGCGTGCCAGGCTCCTCTGACTTTCACTACCTACAGGAGTTTGCTCAGATTCACACCCAGAGTCAGTGATGCTATCTAACCATCACACCCTCTGCTGCCCTAATCAGACAGCTCATCAAAGAAGATGTACAGACGGCCAGGAAGCAACTGCAAGGAAACTCAATATCACACATTAACAAGGAGTTTTATGTTGAGACAAAAATGAGGTACCAGTGCAGCTCTCTGAGAATTTTGAAAATCCAAAGTATCTCTATATCTTTAAAAAGTTTTGTTCCTTGCAGATTTTCTCAGGGATCCTAACCAGGAGTCCAAACTGCTACTCCCATCAGTGCTTCAGAAAGATAACTAACAAACTCTCAGGTCACTCTCTGAAAAGCTAAAAGGAGTCTGAATGATCCATTCTTCTTTTTCCCATTGAGGGAGAGCTGGGAGGTGGAGATTTTCTCCTATTCCTACACACTGCCATAGAAGGGAAGTAGACATGGAGGATACAATGCCATAAATTTGCCTGAACATTTATTGTATCTCTTCTTGGCATTGTGCTTTACTGGGGTGCAGCACTCTATCATCCAATGTCTGGTATTTTCACAAAGGAAATTAGGTCTCTATGTTCTTGTCTCCACGGAGGAATGGAGGCTTAGGGATTCCTATTCTTCCATCATGCTGATGTTACTCTGGAGTAAAGCTCATCTTTAGATCATGTCTCTTTCTGGGGAATTTTAAGTTTTCTTGCACCAGCAATCACATCTCTGAAGGGGAAAAATGCACTGAACCAAAACTGGACCCTGCTTCACACTGTCCTGTTTTTCTGCAATACTCTGTGGAAGGCAGCCTTCACTTGAGCATTCCTTACACTGTAGACAAGAGGGTTCAGCAATGGGTTGAAAAGAGTGTAAAACAGGAAAAGGATCTTCAGGTGTTCTTCTCGTTGACTGTTGTCAGGGACCATGTAAACGATCATGGCTATGCCAAAGTAGAACCCAACCACACAGAGGTGGGAGGAGCAGGTGGAGAAGGCTTTCTTGCGGCCCTCCTTTGACTGGATCTTCAGGATGGCCCAGAGGATACGCATATAGGAGACCAACATCAGGGCAAGAGGCCCAACTAAGATAAGAACGCCATCAGCAAAGAGGAATATTTCATTGATCCAGATGTCACCACAGGCCAATTTGAGGACAGAGCGAATGTCACAGAGGAAGTGGTTCACCTTCTGGGGGCCACAGAAGGGTAATCTTAACAAAAGAATTACTTGGACCAGGGCCAAGGCAAATCCACATGCCCAGCAAGCAATGGCCAGGATGGAACATACTCTCCAGTTCATGATGACCGTGTACTGGAGGGGATGGCAGATCGCCACATACCTGTCATAGGACATCGCCAACAAAATGAGGCACTCTATAGATCCAAAAGTCAAATTGAAAAGCATCTGCACAGTGCAAGGGTCAAAGGAGATGTTTTTTGTATGTTTCACTAGGTTTTCCAGCAAGGTGGGCAAATTGCTCGAAGGAAAGGATATATCGATGATGGCCAAGTGGGAAAGGAAGAAATACATGGGGGTGTGCAGTCTGGAGTCAAGGCAAATGAGTCCCAAGATAATGCCATTTGCCAGCAGGTTGCAGATATATAACAGGGAGAAGATACCAAACAGGAGCAATTCCATGTTTTTGCTGAGCTGAAATCCCACTAGGATGAATTCTGAGATCTGTGACTGGTTGCCCTCCATTGAAAATTACAGTCTGCAAAGGACTGAAGTGTGATGGGAAAGTCAGAGCTGATAGCAATGAAAGTAGGAGTTATTTACATGAAGTGAATTCAGAGGAAGCTTGTGTTGGCCCTACCTCCCTGAGGATTTTTTCTTCGCCTTTTTGTTTTCTTACTTTTTATTGTGAACTAATTCAAATTTACAGATAAGTGTTGGAGATTATAAACCATACTAGTATATAATATATAGGTTTCACTAATTTTTCTTCATTTTTTGGCTTATCACTTATTTTCTCTAAATGGACAGTGTATTAACTTTCTATAGAACACTTAAGACTAAAGTGAAGCCATACTCACATATTGACAATTTATTCCTAAATTCTTGGAGGGGTCCTTCTTCCTGCAACATTATTATTTTACATATATTATATGTTTATATAATATATATGAACAAAGCTAGTGGGGTGATGGAAATATAGCTGAGCTATTAAAAATCCTAAAAGATGATGCTGTTAAAGTGCTGCACTCCACATGCCAGCAAATTTGGAAGACTCAGCAGTGGCCACAGGATTAGAAACAATCAGTTTTCATTCCAATCCCAATGAAAGACAACGTGGAAGAATGTTCAAACTATCATACAGTTGCACACATTTCAAATGCTAACAAAGCAATGCTCAAACTCTTTCAAATTAGGCTTTAAAAGTACGTGAGCCAAAATCTTCCAGATCTACAAGCTGGATTTCCAAAAGGCAGAGTAGCCAGAGATTAAATTAACAATGTCTATTGGTTCATAAAAAAAGCAAGAGAATTCCAGAAAAAATATACTCCTGCTTCATTGACTATGCTAAAACCTTTGACTGTGTGGATCACAACAAACTGTGGAAAAGTCTTCAAGAGATGGGAATACCAGACCATCTTACCTGCCTCCTGAGGAACCTGTAATCAGGTCAAGAAGCAACAGTTAAAACTGGACATGGAACAACAGACTGGTTCAAAATTGGGAAACGAGTTTGTCAAGGCTGTATATTGTCACCCAGCTTATTTAACTTATATGCAGAGTGAAAGTGAGAGTGAAGTCACACAGTTGTGGCCGACTCTTTGCAACCCCGTGGACTGTAGCCCACCAGGCTCCTCCGTCCATGGGATTCTCCAGGCAAGAATACTGGGTTGCCATTTCTTTCTCCAGGGGATCTTCCCGACGCAGGGATTGAAGCCAGGTTTCCCGCATTGCAGGCAGACGCTTTAACCTCTGAGCCATCTATGAAATGTCAGGCTGGATGAATCATAACCTGGAATCAAGATTGCCAGGAGAAATATCAATAACCTGGAATATGCAAATGATACACCCTAATGGCAGAAAGCGAAGAGGAATATAGAGCCTTTTGATGAAAGTGAAATAGGAGAGTGAAAAAACTTGCTTAAAATTCAGCATTCAAAAATGAAGATCAGGGCACCTGTCCCATCATTTCATGGTGGTAGATGGGGAAAAAATGGAAACAGTGGCAGATTTTATTTTCTTGGGCTCCAAAATTACTGTGCATAGGCTTCAAAAGTACATGAACCAAAATCTTCCAGATCTTGGTTGGACAGTGCCTGCAGCCATGAAATTAAAAGACAATTCCTCCTTGGAAGGAAAACTATGACACATCTAGACAGCATATTCAAAAGCAGAGACATCACTTTGCTGACAAATGTCCGTATTGTCAAAACTATGGTGTTTCCAGTAGTCGTGTATGGATGTGAAAGTTGGATCATAAGGAAGGCTGAGCACTGAAAAACTGATGCTTTTGAACCATGTGTTGGAGAAGACTCTTGAGAGTCCTTGGATAGCAAGATTAAATTAGTCCATCCTAAAGGAATTCAACCCTGAATATTCATTGGAAGGACCAATGCTGAAGCTGAAGCTCCAATATTTTGGCCACCTGATGTGAAGTTGGAAAAGACCCTGGTGGAAAAGATTGAGGGCAGGAGGAGAAGGGGGCGACAGAGGATGAGATGGTTGGTTGGAATCATCACTCAATGGATATGAGTCTGAACAACCAGGAGACAGTGAAGGAGGGGAGACTGGCATGCTGTAGTTCTTGGGGTTGCAAATAGTTGGATAGAACTATGCAACTGAACAAGAACAACAACACATTTACATGTATCATTGTGCGTGTGTGTGTGTGTGTGTGTGTGTGTGTGAAGTCGCTTCAGTTGTGTCTGACTCTTTGTGATCTTATGCACTGTAGCCCACCAGGCTCCTCTGTCCATGGGATTCTACAGGCAAGAATACTAGGTTACCATGTCCTCCTCTGGGTGATCTTTCTTCCCAGCTCAGGGATGAAACCTGCATTTTTTACGTCTCCTGCATTGGCAGGTGGGTTCTTTGCCACTAGCACCCCTCTGGGAAGCCCCATATATATGTATAATATATAAAATTACTATTAATATATTATTACAGTAAAATATTGTCACTATACATACATTCAGAGATACACATACATATGTAATTTTGATGCATGTATAAACTCATAAAATATGACCCTAACATATGTCTTGGAAAGAAATCTTTTTCAGTCAATTGTATATTGCAGATATACGCATGAATTGTGATTAGAGAACCATCATGTAGCATTAAATTCATTTTAGTAGGGAAGAATGGTCAAAATTGTGGTAAGGATGATGACTAAACAGAATGTAAACAGTACAAATCTTAACAATGTAAAATGAGTATTACAAAAGCCAACAAAAATCAGCTGTTATGGGAGATGAATTATAAGAAATCATAAGAAAACCATTTTCCCCCAATTGTGAAATGGGAAGTTAAAAAGTCAAGTGTTCACATTTGAAGGATATAGTTTACAAACATTGAGATTTAGACTTCAGTTTCTGGCGAGATGAGAGATGAGAGACTACATACCCTGTACCACACTCTTCTTTAAAAACAGCTAAGAGGCAGAAACAACTGAAGTGACTTAGCATGCACACAAAACTAGTCTTGATCTGAGATAGTCTGGATTCAACTATTCTTCCTAAAGGAAATTCCAAGACTTCATTTCAAACAGAGAAGAAGTGATCCTAGAAAAAAAAATCACTGCAAAATACAGATGTAAAATACACTGTAAAATTCACTGTAAAAATACAGTATTGGAAAGTACCAATACATTTACAAAAATAAGCAGACACTCACTGTACAAAGAATTCTGGCAGTGTCCTCTGGGACCTAGAACAAGACTGAAACTAAATATGCAACAATGTATATATTGGGAAGAGGCTAATGGGAATTAAAAGTTCTAATTTCCATGCATTTTGACAGATAATATAGCTACTGACTTTCATTAGCCTTTTTCCACCCAACGTTAATCACTCAACTGAAAAATCTGAGCCATGAGCAGGACATATTTCTTTATATAAATGTAAAGATTCTGCTTTAAGAAAAAATAAGGGATTGACAACTGTCATTAACTGAAAAATTGAATATCTTTATAGACCACTTGCTAAAATGTCTGAGTAAGATCAGGAAATTATTAACTCCATGGAGGGACATGAGTTAAAAGATGGAATAGAAAAATAAAAAAAGTACTTCTCTCTAGAAAAGCAACATATAAAATGGAAAACTCTGTCAAAATAAGCCTCTTTGGACTTCTGGAATCTAATCAAAAGCTATAGCAGCAGCACACATGCTTAATACGGAAAACAAACCACCAACCTGAAAATCAATGGGAGAGATCTGTAGAATTTTAACTTGCCCTGATTCCATCCCCCACTCCTTAGCTCAGAAGCAGTTCTAAAAATGATAGTCTGCACTTCTGATGTACACTCACTACCAGAAGGAGCAGAATATACTTTACACTCACAGAATTCTGGATGTTGGATTTGATCTGTCCGGTGACTGGACAGAGAGGCCTGGCATGCTGCAGTCCACGGGGTTGTAAAGAGTCAGACACGACTGAGTGACTGAACTGAACTAAAGAAGTGGTATTAGAAGAGGTTTACCAAAAATATTCCAGATTGTAGAAAGACCTTACTTAATCTCCAAAATGATAAAAATGTATTCTGAAAGAGTACAGTAAAGGTAAATGTACCCATAACGACATTGAAGAACTTCTGATAATTGAAGATAAAAATTAATCTTTATATCAAAAATTTGAGGTTAAGATAGATTAAATAAAATTCTTAATAAATATAAACAAACACAAATATTTGATCATTATTTTCCTGTTTAAAAAACAATAGTTTCCTCGGGCTACCTACAAATCACTGTTAGTTTTTAAAATAAGTCTTAATATTTAATAAAAGCTATAATTTTATTTGCCTCTTTAAAAGCTTTCTTACAGTATTTCAGTATTTAATTGTTCCAAGATCAAAAGGAAATATTTTAAAAAATTAAAGGTAAAAGAAAAGTATCTACACAGGAACAACAATTTCACTGACAGCAGATTTCTTATCACAGCACAAGATCTGAAGACAAAAGTATTAAATATACACCAAGAGGCAGAGAAGCTCTCAATCAAGAATGTGACAACTGCAGGGACTCTCTTGAAGGAATGAGAACAAAAGAAGAGATTTATTGTATGTAAATTGTAAAAGTTTAGGGCATGTATCTCTTTAGTATTCTAATAAAAATTATTCCTTAATAAGCACAGAAGTGAATTCAGAGTTAACCAAACACATATAGATAATATTGAACAAACATTATAATAAAATATGACCTTATAGTTAATAACTTACAAGCTATAAAATGATTTTGATGCTTAAAATTATAAAAGTAAAATTAAAACAAATAAATGAAGAGATGTATTTGGACATGAAGAATATTACCTTTTTGAAGAGGCTCATAATACTGAAAGATTTTAAATTCATCACAATAAATTATTAATGTTGATGTTAGCACTTATAGATTACCATCAATAGAAAATGACAGAATCTATTATTTCCAAGTAACAGTGCCAACAAATGAGACATTAAATCATTATCAATCAAAAGGAAGGTAGAAGGCAAGAAAATAGAAAAAGAGAAGCAAAAAAGTTGTTGATATTC